TTAGGAATGGTATAAATTATCATGTAGGTTGCCGTTTTTGAGAGAACGACCTATCGAACGTTAACGATTYAAGGTGAGTACATTATGCGATTTTTATGGGATATATACATGATTATTACAAAAGTATTTTATCCATGATATTTGCATGATGTGTTTATGTGCATATGATGATAACTTGATTATATTGATGTGCATGATATTTAAGTATATGCATGATATGAAATATGATGTGGATGAGAAAGATTATGATGACTTGATATTATCAATATGATATTCAAKTATGTGTATAATGTGATAAATGACGATGATGYATATGTGATTTATGTTGTCACTTGCATGAGATGTAAGTTGCATGTCACGATGAGGTTTGCATTAATGAGTGAGTATTGCAAATAAATGATATGCAACTAGTATGACTCGGCAAGATTCGTCCACCGTACGGGGTGGGTTGGACATGAAAGGAGGGCTTGCAATTCCGAGGTCTTGGAGTCCTCGTCCATAGAATACGCCACATACGCAAAGAAAAGTGACGAGCCGATGCCTCACTTGCAAGATAATAATTAAAATATGCTAAAACGCTGTTTTGTGTGTGCATGTGATCATGAAACCATATTGTATTCACTAAGCTTTTTGCTTATACTATATATGTATATATCTCAGGTGTCATTTGTCAGTAGACGAGTGAACGAAGAAAGACGGGACTATGTTTTGAATCATGTTTGATTAGATATTTTAATTAGCATTGATTACGTTAAAGTATTTTACGCTTCCGCAATTATGTAACGAATTATGTTAAACATATTATGTGTGTTTGAAATTTTAAGTTCGTATTTTTGATCAAGACATAAGTTATTAAGAATGACGTCACGACACTCGAATGGATAGAAGAAAAAAAAAATCGGGGCGTGACAAATTAAGTAATAATTTTTAATTTTATTAATATATTAAATTAAATTCTTATTTAATTAATATGTTAATTTATTTTAGACAATTAATATTATTTAATTACTTATTTCCTATGAGAGGTTATTAAGTTAATTAATTTATAATTATGATTTAATATTCATTTTTAGTGGGATATTCGATTTATTCAAAACATTTTAATTTGGACGATGAGGTTGCCTAATTATAAAAAGCTTAATTAAACGTTATGGGAATCATAAAGTTTAGTACTTGAAGGTTGACAAAGGTTGACCGATGGGATAGTTTTTTATATTTCGAAATTATTTCAAAAGAGATTTTGAAATAGATATACATATTATTTGGTATTTTGTTATATATTTTCGTAAATCGTACGTAAATGGTCCTAAGTCTCTTCTGTGTGGTTGTTAATGGTATGAAAAAGGTAAAAATTTACCTAAATATTTATTTAGTGTGGTCGTATTGATATAAAAAGTGTATATGGATTGTTTAGGTAATGAGACGGGTATGCAAACCGAGCATAAATGAGATCTTAATTAAATGTACTAAGGTGAGTTTCAAGTCTATCTAACTGGGTGCATGTCATGTTTCTATGTGATTTGAGCTTGTTGGATGTGTTTTATGTATAAATGGAAAAACTCTTGATTGTACAACAATGCTTGAGATGAAGTTATGTATGTCCATACAAATTTTGACAATGCTACTATGAATCCAAGCTACTTACGGTCATCCCATGCATGTGGAGCATACTGGCCGATCCAGTTGGTTGCGATGTTTGGAAGAAAATTTAAAGTGAAGATAGTATTTGGTGGTAATTCTAGTAGCATTATCCTTAGTAATTAGTCTTATGTATATAGAACAACTGTATATATTGTTAAATTTGTGTATACGTTTCTTTTAAAAATATTATATACAATATATCTCACACGTTCCGAAATATGGCAAATGATGAATCATTTTCTTGTTTTTCCTAAGACTTAAAAAATTGTATAAACGTAAGACTTAAAAAAGCGATCCATTTTTCGAGGGTTCTTTGAAAATGACCAATTATACAATTACTCCCATCTCAAGATCTTTTTATCCCTTGAATAAAAAATCTTTTATTGCCAAATTTTATGTTACATTAATTATAATTATCTTATTTAATATATTGTTTTATGCTTTTCTTATAACATTTTTATTTTAACTTGGATATTCAACCAGCTATGCGAGCTGAATAATCTCAAGGTGACCACCTGTTTTGCAGATAGTTCGGAGTCACCGCATTTAAACATCCGTGGCCACAAGAGGATTTTTATTTCTCCTTGGATTTGAACATGAGACCTCCTGGTACTTTTTGAGCTTTGGAGCCAAGCTCAAACCAATTAGACACCACCTTTGTGGTTTCTTATAACATATTTTCACGTAATGAATACACATAAATTACAGGGAGTTAGTGTTGTACAAAAGTTGTATGAATGAATACAAGTAAAGCAACATTCTAAAAGATTCGTGGTATTTTCGTGGTACACCGTGACTCAAGGTCATATCTGACACCAAGTTAAGTTAATGGCACGCCATGGTCTGATGCACGGTTTTATAAGACATTAGTTTTTTAAATTCTTTTTAATCTTTTTAGCATATAACATATATTAAATTGTTTTACATCATTGACTTGTTGAGTGATAGTTATATATATACACATGCGTATACATATACTTTTGTATATGGTATACAGATTTGTCATATAAATCACGCCATGAAAAACGTCGTGGCTCCTAACCCTTGAGGCTTGACCTTACTGTCAGAACACGTCTCATTCTTTGAACCTTGATACATAGGCACTAATTCTTGAAAAACCGATGCAACGCAAATCCTATTGCAAGAAAGTGTATATGACACTTCAAAGGAAGAACACAAGAACAAGAGCTTGAAGATATGAAGTTGAAGCATATGTTGAAATGAATGATAAGACACATTAGCTTGGCTAATTATAATATAAACATCATGAATTATGCAATAAACATAGATTTCGTATAAAACATTAACGATTCATTCCTCCATGAGTCACGGGCGGAATTTGGATTCCATTAGGCATCGATCTATCCATACTCTCTTGCCATCCTGAAATTTTAGATAAAAAAACAAAACCCTAATTAAGATCAAAGTTATCATGATGACTAATTAACTAATAATCAATCAATTTAGATGAGTATGAGAGAGATGAATTAATAATTACCAATAGACATATCAAATCCACGGTGTTGGAGCTCACGATATTCTTGACACAAGGCGCATGGGCCGCAACAAAAATGAACACAACAATCGTTGGTGGGAGCTTCGGGCAATCCTTGTTGACGTCTCATCTTAGTTCGATACGTACATGAATAAAGGCATCCACAACAAGTTAACACGTTGATCAATGCGTATCGGACTCCATGTACTCCACAAGCTACAATTCGATTATAAACAAGTTAATTATTTCTATATATATAATCATCCAAATACAATCAGTTCTTGTTAGATAATCATGTAGCTACTTACAAGTTCTTCCTTTGTCTACAATCTCAGCTATTTGCCCGAAAATAATGCAAGGGCACCAAAATGTTAAGCAACCTGTGCTTTCAAAATTAACTTCATTAATTGAACTTTGAAAGAATATATATATATATATATATATATATATATATATTGTACATATTCGTACTTAAAGTGAATAAATAATAATGTGTGTGTGTGTATATGACTTACAATTAGGGATATCGATACAACAGTCACAAAGTCCGGTGGACCAAGAGGTCTGAGAGAAGAGAGGTGAAGCTGAAACATCGGTGGCGTTTGGTGGTGGTCGTGACGGCTGAGCATATCCCGGTGGAGGGGCTGATGGAGATGGAGACTTGTGGGGATACATGACTCCAAACCAACAGTGCTAGTCAATCAAGAATGCTACTATACACCACTTATTTATGGATCACATGGACATTTTAATAACACAAAAAACAATCAATATATGCATCAAGTAGGAACTTTCTTGATTCATATTATTCAAATTTTAAACCTTTTCACGCCCATTTTTGTATTAGAGAAACCGTTGTCAAATTTATTAAAATATTAAATGACGTATATTATCTTTTATGTTAATTATGAAGAATAACTATATATTCTTCGAATTTCATACTGTAGCAAAGTTTTTTCCGGAGTGACTTTCTCTGATCGATGTTAGCACGACTAAACCCAAATCTTGCAACAAATAGGGTTTTATGAATGATGATTATAAAGATCAGGTACAAGTTCATTCAGCCTTTTTGAAAAAGAATTTGATTTCACAAAAATATTTGTGTTAAGTTGTGGTGTGTAGTGGGAAAGATGGTGACAACTTATCTTAATAAATTTGCAGGGAATCAAGTTATTTTTTAAAAGGATTAAGAAGACTTAATTTGTTGATTAACACAGATTTAGTTGATATAAGTATGAACACATTAATAGGAAATTAAAATCTAATGGAACTTGCCATATTCAAAGAAAATTAGTTGAACGAACATGACACTCAAACACATGTTGATATATACAATTAGATCGATTCCTGAATTATCCAAAACCTGTTTGGTCTATAAGATTTGAAATTAAATTTTATTTAAATTCTACATTTGGTTTAGAGCAAAATTCACGAAATAATAACTTATTTTTACAAATTTATTTATTATAGTATTGTACTTTTAGTTCTTTTTATTACATTAATGTACATTCAAAATATTTTTTATTAAGGCATCGTACTTTCAAATATTTACCTGTTATAGCATTTACATTAACTTAGATTCACCCATTATATCAGGTTTTTTTGTCACCTCATCGTCTATGTAGGCTGTTCACATGTACGATAGGCTAATATGACCTTTTTTTTGTTATAGCATTGTACTTTCAAAACTACTTTATCATAATATTACCAATTTCTATTACAACATTCTACTTTTAATTTTAATATTTATTTAAAAACTATAAATTTGATCAAATATGTTTATTAAAAATTTTAATATCATAAATTAAACATGTTTACAAAAGATCACTATTTCACGAATTAAAAAAGTGATTACTGAATTGTACACATGTTTAATTTCTGATATTATAATTTTTAGTAAACAAATTTGATTAAATTTATAATTTTTAAATGATGAAAATATTAAAATTAAAAGTACAATGATGTAATAGAAATTTGTGATATTATAATAAAGTAATTCTAAAGGTACAATGCTAAAACAAGAAATATCATGTCAGCACTATCGTACATGTGGACAGCCTACGTAAACAATGAGGTGGCAAAGAAACTTGGTATAATGGGTAAATTTAATTTAAAAAGTTACTCAATGCGATAACATATAATTTTTTTAAAATACGATGTCCTAATAAAAAATATTTTAAAAATACAATGTTATAATAAAAATTTGTAAAAGTAGATTGTTATTTCACGTATTTTGTTCTTTGGTTTAAAGAGAAGTCTGAATTTGCTTATTACTAAGGATTTCATATGATGAATTTGCTTATAATAATATTTTAAAAACATTTTTTTGGAATAATCAATTTATAAATGTTAATTTACTGATTTTTATAAATTATCTATGAAAAAAAAATTCAATAATAATTCAAATCCTACAAACAAAACATGTAAAAGATTCCAAATCCTTTCAACTCTAAATCCATTTAATTTAAAAATCCTTCTACAAGATCGAAATCTGTCAAAAATATTTTTTAAAACCAAACGAACTCTAAGGGCCTGTTTGTTTTTTAAAATTTGCCTCTTAATTTTCTCTTATGTCTGAATCGGTCAGACATATAGACTTTCAGATCGTTTGTTTTTTCCCCCAAATTAAGAGCTGAATTCACAAGGTTTCCTCTTAATTTTTAAGTGGTAACCCTAGCTCTTAATACCTCTTATTTGTTTATCCGCCTCCTTACGTCGCTCTCATCCGCCTCCTTTACGTCGCTCTCATCCGCTCTCGTCCCATTCATCGATTGAAGCTGGTGTTCTTCATACATCGCAGATTCAAGCTGGTGTTCTGGTAA